ATTACTAGAGGGAAAAAATCAATAAAAAGTACTGATGGAAAGATTACATGTGCAGTTGAAAGGCAAGAGTCTACGGAACAATTTCTAAAATAACTGATAAATGAGAATTCCTAATTTGAACTGGCACGTAATTTGCACGCAAATGGGATTCATTCCAATCATCTATAATGCCAACTTGGGTCTCCATATCCGACAGAGAGCAGCATACTCTGCAATGCTTCAGAACACTCCCGAAAACTATTACGAATGCTCCATACTTTATAAAGGAGTCAGTACTCCACAAAAGCTTGAAAATGTAATTTCTAAAACATTCACTTGTATAAGTTATTGAACAGTTGTTTCAGAAAGCAAGAAACCGAAGTAGGCTTAATTTCAAGCGGATTATTGACTATGAAGTAATGCTTGCAGACTTTATCTACAGCGCACCTATTTATAGGTTTCGGAATAGTGTAATCCCCATGAGCTTGCTATGCACTTCTTTTGGATTTTTTAGATTTCAATGCATTCTTTAGCAGTCTGGATGACATTTGCCTCACTTTTGCCCTTTTCTACCAACTCCCCTTTCATATAGATTCAGAGCTTAACCCCTTGACATAAAATGACGTCCGGGAGACGTCATTCATTTCATGTGCCATTGTAAACTTCATGTGCCACTATAGTTCTTGACGTCACCGAGATGTCAAGAACTGTCTTCGACCAACGCCGCGCAGTATATTATTGTAATTTGGTAATGTAAATTTGAAAATAAAACATTCTCTTTCTAAGCTTGCACATGAGTGTCCACAGTTGAGCCAAATTAAATAGTATTCTTCAGACGACAGAAATTTTATTTGTATATAAAGGGATTAATATCACTGCTAAGGCCTATATTGCCAGTCTTTTCAAGTTAAACTGTCTGGAGATTTTAGTGGAATGCTATAATAAATACGTGACTAGGTATGTATCTGTTTATTAATTCCAAATTTCAAGCAGGAGAGACTGAAGTACAATCATGGACTAGCAGCTGAATGGCTCGAAGCAGGGAAAACCATCTAAAATTATTACAGTTTAGACGTATATAAACGTTTTATCTCTGGGTTTAAAAAGATAGCTGAATTGCTCTGTGAAAGACTGCTGGTGGCTATGGAAAGAGCACTATATCTTATGATGATAGATATGTACCCCCAGTAGGGAAAAAGGAATAAAAAATTTTACTTTCTGGTCAGATAGCTGCAGACTTAATAATAATGATAATAGATAATAGATAATAGAATGCAATGCTACATGCATTCTATTATCTGCCAGAATCGTTACTAATCTATTATCTAACAGAATCGTTACTTGGAGATTTAGTTATGTTGGTATCTATACACTGAAGCTTGTTACTTATATTCTGGTAATGGGCGCCATCGTTGAGAAGGATTATGTTTAGGTATAATGAGCAAATTCATGTGGTAAAAATGATTCATGTCTCAAATTCAGTAACAGTGGCTTAGAGCGGTGTTCCCAGAAAATTCCAGTTCACCATCAAGACGGGCTTTGGACACTAGGAAAGAAGGGATCCCGTTACCAACAACAGAAAAAGATTCGTGAAACTGATCGTTGAGGTAGAGTTGTTATTATGTGTAAGGGAGCGTTACGCACATCTCTGACTATAAGTATCGATATTTTCTTATTTGTCTTCTGTGTGGTACACAGGGTTCAGTCTTTCTATTCAACTGACAACTATGCAACCCTCATAGAGGACAGCTGAAGTGTTTGAGACAATATAAGGCGAAAATACTTAGCGCATGGAATGACTTGCATGTTCGCCGATCTTAAATTCTTTACAGATTTGAGTTCGATTTCACGAACAGAAATTTTTGAGATGAGGTCTTATAGCTTTCTAACGGTAACGAAGTTTTAAAACTCTTATTTCAAATTTTAATGATTTATTTAATGTGAAATATTTATAGACCAATTTAATAGTTCAGTTAGACTTTCACGTTGGCTTTTTCTGGGTGAAACAATCCAATTAATGGCTGGAACCCACGTACACTGCGAAAAACAAAGGGGGGCGGGCAGTTCTATATCTCTCGTTCTACTGGACCGATTGACGAAATTCAGCTTGAGTTTTTCACGTCTCGAAAGCGCGACTTAGGATATGTATTAGATTTATATATAGCATTGTTCTAATATAGGTATTTTGACATAAAATCGGATTTTTTTTCTGAAATGACATGCCATTTTCCCCCTATATTTCTATACTACTCAAATTTTGCTAAACTGCCAAGTTTTTAAAAATCGCACGAATAGTTTTTAAAAAATTAGCTTTCAAAAGTTTAGTTTCTCAGTGTTAATTGAATTTATTATATATATATTTATTGATATATCTTTTTCATTAAACATACTTGATTCATTCTTCCAGAATTCGAAATTTAGGCTTAATCCAAATATAATTCGCCCATTTTTATGATTTATTTTTAAAATTTGTATTTCTAAATATTTTTTACAAATTTTTTGAAAACTATTTTGAATTATAACCTGTAAAAGTTTTACCATTTTCCTAAAGTAGATGTATTTCTAAGCATATCTGCAAAAATTAGAGGTTTTTATTCAAAATTTTCTAAGATTTACGTGAATTTATATACTGGCCCGTTTTGAAATTTGCCATATTCGTTATAATCCATAATAACGTCAAATGTGGTTTACGCACTTTGTTAAAGTTATTTGAAAGTCTGAAAGATGACCTTTTTTCCGCTCGTGTGCAATGAAAAAAACGAAAGGAAAATAAGTAGGTATAAATTAAGAAGTTCGCCAAATGAATTATTCTTGGCACAAACTAAAAAAAAAAAAAAAAAAAAAAAAAAAAAAAAAAAAAAAAAAAAAGATCGAAGATAAATTTACGAATATTCGTAAATTTTGTACCAAATTTTACCAAATTTAATAGTTACGCATGTTTTGAGTCGTAGAATCGAAATATGGAAAAAATTGGCATATCGTTTCTGAAAAATTCAATTTTATGATTAGAATAGTGCTGTATATAAATATAATATATGCCCTAAAATCACACTTTCGAGACATCAAAAAGGCAATTTGAATTTCGTCAAGCGGCGCAGTAGAACGGGAGATATAGAACTGTCCTTTTTTTTTTTTTTTTTTTTTTTTTTTTTTTTTTTTTTTTTTTTTTCCCCCGCAGTGTACCTAAAGTCCAAAACGATTTTCTATTCAATTTGCATTAGAGATTTCGTAGTCATTCTCAGATCATGGTGATTAAATATGGTACTGAATTAAAATTTTTAAAATTTTGATAATATATTTGAAATGATTTAAAATGTGAAATTTTCCTTTAATTCAATTTATAAATGATATGAGAGAGTTTAAATTTTAAAAGCTTTTTATCTATTACTTCATTAACTTTTGTTTAAAAACGGTTTATAAAAAGTATTTCTCAAAATATGGTTATTATTGTTATTTCTATGTAATGTATTGTAACGTAAATTTCGGATTAATTTTGTCTAAAGCCCCGTAAGTCAACCATCAGAGAATAATTTGAGGGATATCTTCAAAATGACCGTTACGACCCACAGATCCAGTCGATGTTTTAACATCAATTAATATACTTATATATGTAGTAGACTGCCAGTATTTGACGTCGTCGCCAGTATTTGACTTCGTCACCGCCAGTATTTAACGAATGGGTACTCACCTCTCCAGCCATCCTTTATAGCAGAGTTTCTTAAACGTTTTTTGGTTTGGGGACCCCATAATATTTATGAAAATTTTGTGGGATCCCCATAAGAATTTCTCATCCGACACACGCAGGAGTGAAACTATCAGTTTATTCATTTGTACTATATGCTATAATATGCTATTGCAGTTTTAGGTCATTAATTTTAGTTTTTAAAGTAAATAAATATTTCTATTTAAAAGAAAATGTGTCGAAACGTGTTCGTTTTTTTTTTTTTTTTTTTGTTTGTTTGTTTGTTTGTTTGTCTGTTTTGCCTTATCTTTATCTATTTTCTGCTACATTATATAAAAATAGTTGGTATTTGTAAAATTAAAATTTCAAAATTGTAAAATAAAGTTTCAAAATTGTTGAAATTTTTGGCGACCCACTGTTTAGGAAACTCTGATTGATAGAATCGTACTCTCTTTAGCCACAATAACTCTACGAGATCCTACTAAGGAACTTGGCGACTTCTCGCACAGGCTTAAAGGAAACAACCACAGAAGAAGGGTCAAAATAACCCTTTATGATTATGAACTCCGAACAGAAAGGCATATCTTCGTGTTTTTCAATAACACCGTCAACTTGCGGTGGAACATAAGAATCGTTACATAATAAATTCAAGGTAGTGCTGAACTAGCATTTTAAGTTAAGGTTAACTAGGTTGACTCGACAACCTACCCGTCGTGATAATTATTTAAATGGCCAAAGAAGGACCTATCATGAACTCAGCGTAACTGCAAGGGCAGTTTCGAACGCGCGCTTGTCCAGCGAAAACGCGCTCTGACTACACTCCAAGATTCATTCCTTTGAATACTCGCTTTGAATTTGCATCTTAGTGAGGAACTGCGAAAGGAAGTTGAGGAGTTCAGGAAAGATAATAAAAATTTGAATAATTGGTTAACTGAAATAAGAGAAACTCTACACCTTTAAGTAGGCAAATCGAATAAATCTAAAAAATTAGGATATCTAAGTGCCCTTGTAAACGTTTTAGGTTTCATGTTCACACTTCTTTACATTTTATCTAGAATACAACTATCCGACAGATACATAGCCTAAAGTTTTATCTAGTGTCTTATTTCAAGGTCATTATCATTGGACGTTTTCATGACGGTTAGGTACTTGACTCTACTACAAGGTAATTAAGATTACTATGATGCTTTTTTTAAAGGTCCACTATAGTTAACTCTTATTTTTTTATTTTTTCAATGCGATTAAAGAACTCTGACAAGACCCCCTAAACAATATCTGTATGTTGTTTTAAATTTAAATGCATCTTTTCTCAGTTGAAAAAACGACATTTGTTTTTCAGATAGGAAAACGATGATTCGAAGACTTCCACAATGGGATTATGCGGATACAGAAGGAAAAAGAGAAGCAAACGAAGAAGAGGGCTTACTTAACTTCAATCAGATGTGTTCCTGCCGCATCAGCTGCCGGTCTGTTCGCTGCTCATGCGTGAAAGCAGCAAAAAGCTGCAGTGAAGGAAGAGCAGTATGTCTCTGCAATAACTGTGACAACCCTTTGAACATACTGGAATCAATAGGAATGAACCTGGAGTTTTCTCTCAGCGATAGTTGTTTATTCCAAAATATTTATCAGGTATCTCAATTTATTTAACGAATAATTTTGAGAACTGTCTTTCAAATGATTCTAACACACTTTTTAGACGGCAATAATTTCAGCTATAGGTGTTTTTTTCTCTCCTTTCTACATGCCTTCGTGGTGTAACGGTTAGCACACTCGGCGCGTATTCGAGAGATCCAGGTTCGAGTCGCGACGACGGAATTGCTCATTTTCACGTCTCCTGCTTCAAAGAAACCTAATGACTCTACAATACCTTTGCAAAATGAAACCGAATGAAAACTAAAACTCTGTTTAAAAAATATATCAGTTAATGCTATTGTTAATTCATGAACTTGTTTAAACTTTATCTAATTTAACTTCAAACCATAATGAATATGTTCAATTCTGAAATATTATTACATGATATACTATACATCGTACCCACAAAAGCCCTTACCGAACCTTTATTTTCTCAACCGTTGGTCGTAGACCTATACAGGGTGGGCATAAAAGAATCCACGAAACATGAACCTCTAGCAGCCTATCCGCTTAACCAATAGAAATGAAATTTCTGGTATTATTATTTGAAAGTATGCGCTCGAGATTGTGGTGATTTTAAACAATACGGTTACAGTTACTGCGTAAACAATTCGAAATTTTCGAACGGGAAAGCTCACTTTTTTCCCGGCGCAAATTGATCGGCGCATTGAAAAAACGTAAATGGCATCGGAACAATGCACGTGCGACGAAAACTGCCGGCGTAAAACATTCGAAAAAAGAGCATCATCACGCAAAAATCATAAAAGAATTTTAGGGTTCTTGCCTCTTATTCAACTAAATGAACGTTGAGGAACCTAGTCAACTGTTAAGCGAATTATCGCTGAGTTCAAATAACTAAAGAAGTAGGCTCAAGAAAGGTTAACTACCCTTTATTTCACTCAAAATATGATGAACAGTTGGCCCCTTTTTTGGGCTTACAACAAAGCCTTCACTCGGACTTGAACTCAAAATAAGAACTAAGCTATTACTAACTAATAGGCTTAGTCGAAGCTAAACACAAGTATCTAGAGTAGTTGGCCCTGAATTTAAACTAGCCGCCGAATATCAAAAGGCACGTAATATGCGGCCGAGCGTAATAGCTTCTAGAGAAACTTAGCCCGAAGGCAAACACGCGTTACTCGGGATTCTTAGCTTTCTCTCGGGAAGTAAGTTGAACGTTCTTTAAATACTACTTCTAACTCATTTGCATTCAGTGCGATTCTAAAAACTCATTCTAGTAGGGAGTTGTAAGTGGAAAGAAGAACTGATAGGAAAGCACTTTAAAATTAAAAAAACTGTTTTAAAATTTTTAAATGTGCCTTATGGAATATCACGGAATAGCATAAGGGAAAAAAAATCAACATCGAATTATTCTAAATTAACCGAGTCCTCAGTGCAAACTGAAAATATCTTCAGCTATCACAAATTTTGAAATTAATTATCTCAAAAAAATGTTTTTTTTGTGTGTGTGTGTGTCATACGGGTTCAAATAGTTTGTTTTTTTAATAACAAGTATAAAATTTTCTTAAATATAAGTACAGACACAGGAGGAACGTATAAAAAAGTTAAGATTTTTAAGATTTAGATCAGTCGTCATTTTTATGGAATAGTTTTTTGCGCGAAGTATTGTATTCATGAAAAATTTCTGTTATTACATTTCAACGGAAATATCCAATTTTCACCAATTCTAAATCCACTCTGATTATTTTTTTAATGATGTCTGTACTCTCGAACTAAATAAAGAACTTTTTTTTCCAAAACGGATTGTAAAAGGAATTTCTTCGTGATGTCTCTGCGTACGTATATATGTAGGTGTCTCTCATAACTCAGAGCTCACGAGCGGCCGAGCGGTGAAGTCACTGAGCACTGGTAGTTCGGTCCAAGGTTCGATTCCTATGAACCGCTGGCTCTTAGAAAGTCTTCCACGAAGGCATCCTTTTCCATAGGCAGATAGCCCTGGAAACGTAGCTATGTAATCATAATCCCATAACTCAAAAACGCTTAGCCATAAAACGTTGAAATTTTGTATAGTGGACTGCAATGACATCTGCTTGTGTATTTATTTTTATTGCAATCGGCAGCAGCAGAAGTATATTTATACTCACCACCTTACTCAGCGTTTATTTTCGCAATCGTTGGTCCTAGTCATACATTTCAATCACAGAATGACGATAGTCAGTTTTAAATGACGAAAATATTCATGTATTTTCGTCATTTAAAACGCTAATGTTTGGTAATGTACAGTGGTTGCTAAAATTGTGGACACTTTTGGAAATTGTTTTGTTTTTGAACTTTGTACGCTTATAGAAAATGTTACGTTTCGCAAAATGCAAACTTGTATATATCATTTTAAAGAGAATTTATTACTGAATTCAATACAAAACACAAAATTCAATTATTTGCAATACAAAAAAGTTATATGTACTTTAATATAAATAAAAACACAGTTATGAAGTGGTTTGTAACATCTAGCTTTCCTGGCCAATCACTGTTCTTGTTCTGAGAACCAATCAAATGTTAGTAACTGCCAGTAGAAGCTGACATCATGTTTACACTTGAAACAATTCATTATTTTGCTTTGTTCTGTAGAAGAAGAACCTGTTTCTTATACACTGCAATTACAAGTAGGAAATTTTGTAAAAAATTTTAATATTTAATCAAGAAACAATGACATCAAATAAAAGAGTAGATTGGACACCTAGAAAGAGATGTAATATTATTGTGTTACGAGAAAGTGGTCTTTCCTATGCTGAAATTGCAAGACATGTGGGTGGTTCAGTGACTACATCTGGAGTCCGAAAGTTTTGTTTACGATATCAGGAGACAAATTCAATAAAAAAACAAAGAAGGAAAAGGCCGAAAACGGTGCACCACATCTATTGATGACAGAAGAATAAAACGACTATGTCTCCAAGATAGTAAAATGTCATCAGCAGCCATCAGAAGTGATCTGAATGATGCTGGTGTTTCTGTCAGTTCAAGAACAATCAGGAGAAGATTAACAGATGTTGGACTGAGAGGTAGAATTCCACGAAAAAAGCCTTATCCTAATTTTCAGCAACGAAAAAAAAAAAGACTACAGTGTGCAAAGGAACACATTAATTGGACAGATGATTAGTGGTCACAAGTTATATGGAGTGATGGAACTAAGATATCGTTATTCGGTAGTGATGGGCGAAAATATGTAAGTCGTAGAATAGGAGAAGAGCTACATCCTGACTGCATTCAAGCAACTGTGAAGAACCCAGTTAGTGTTATGTTTGGTCATGCATGTCAGCAGATTGTATTGGTCGCCTTCATGTCGTCGATGGACACTGAATGCCAGAAAATACATTGACACTATTCTAGAACCAAAACGTGTACCTTCCATCAGAGATCTCTTTCCCAACAATGCTTCGTTTATTTTTCAGCAGGATTCTGCTCCTTGCCACACGGCCAAATATCGACAGAGTCGTTTCGTACAAAGAACATTAAATTATTGTCACGGCCAGAAAACAGTCTTGACCTCAATCCTATCGAAAATTTGTGGCACCGTTTCAAAACTCTTGTCCGAATGAGGCGCCCATCAAATAAAAGGGAACTAATTGAGGCTGTAATTGTTTCCTGGCATCATGTAATAACGAAAGAAGAGCTTAAAACTCTTGTCAGCTCAACGAAACGTCGATGTGAAGCTGTAATCAAAAATAAAGGGAACCCTACTAAGTACTGATAACTCACTGCAATAATCACTATCTAATGTATATCGATAGCTATTATCGTTTAACTTTTTTTGTATTGCAAATAATTGAATTTTGTGTTTTGTATTGAATTCAGTAATAAATTCTCTTTAAAATGACATATACAAGTTTGCATTTTGTGAAACGTAACGTTTTCTATAAGCATACAAAGTTCAAAATCATAAAAATTTCCAAAAGTGTCCACAATTTTGGCCACCACTGTATATGTTTTAGCAATGTCAAATTTAAAAAGAAAATTAATTTTATGCACACAAGGAAATCTAACTTCTAATACTCTCTCCCAGTTCCTATCCTTAAAGTTTTATACTCGTTATGAAATAATAAAATTAATTATAAGTTTGACTCCAGTACCATAAAAACGACCGGGATATTTAATTTCAAAATCTGCAAAAAAAATGCTAAAACATGAATACTTGTATCATTTGAAACATTTTTGCAATTGGAAGCATGCGTCTACGACCAACGGTTACGGTTGCGAAAATAAAAGACTTTTGTGGACATGGTGTATGTTCCTGTTATTTGTATATTACTAATGGATGGTTAAAATATCTAAGATAAATATTTGTATAAGCATAGGTAAAAAGTTTGATAGTTAAAGAGGTATATACGAACATATAAGTATTGGACAGTTAAAAAAATATCCAAAGGATATCTTATTATTGTATAATTAAAAGTTTGCTAGTTATACACGTATATAATGCTACTGCCCAGTAAAAGAGATATATACAGGATGTCACAAAAGTTCATGTGCAAATGGAACATATGGTTGTGTCAGGTCATGAGGAATCAGAATTGCGTAGGAACTGGGGGTCGGAAAAGCAACAGTAATCCGCTAGAGGGCCATCTTATTAGTGGATGTTCCAGCAACGACACGCCTCAACAAGAGGTTCCCGCATGATGTAGCTCCCTCACATTTCTACAGGAATGTACGTCAGTTCCTGGACTGGATTGCCAGAGGCGCCCCTGTACCGTGGCCACTGCGATTCCCGGACTTACCCCTCTGAATTTCTACGTCTGGGAATACCTTAAATATCTAGTGTACGAGACACCCGTTCCATTAGACATTGACTTCATGGCACGCATTCTTGAAGCGGCGGCACGTGCCCAGGAGACTCTGGCTAATTCGAATGAGTTCGCGAATCCATGCGGCGCCGATGTGACGCATGCATCGAAGCTTGTGAGGCCAATTTTGAGCATTTGTTAAAACATTTCGGTGTTATCTCTTCTTTGCGTGACGGTCACGATGCAATTTCACTGTCACGATCGCGTTCCCGACCCTATGTTCCTCTGTAATTCTGATTTCTCATGACCTGACACAAACATATGGGCCGTTTGGACATGACGTTTTGTGACATTTCGATTTTTTTCTACTGTCCTGCTTAATCAATAACAGTCATGGGCTTTGATAAAAGATCTCGATTTGTAGAAAGTTTTAGAATTTTCAAAAGCAGGAAACATGAAAAATCAACTGTGTTCTCGCCGGTCTTCCAATTACGGAATTTTCACTTGTTAGCTAGACGTGCTAACATTTACGTCACGAGAACATGCATGAGGGAATGCAATAATTCTTTAAAACATAGTTGTTGTACATCTTCTCAATTGACTGTTAGCTACCTGTGTTGCTATGTTTAATTAGTTTGCATTTAGAGTAAAAGCTAAATTTTTAAGAAGTCTACAAACCTTTAGAAAAATGCTAACATGTAGGGATTTTACATATAAATATTAGATTTTCTATTAGCAGACTGCCATAAAAGAATGCTAATTTCTACCATTCTGCTGCTTTAAAAATTTCATTGTGGTTATTATATTTAATATCATATTTCAAAGAATATTATTGGTGGATAAAATTTCATTTTCTATTGGCCAAGTGACAAGGCAGCTTCATTATTACTGCCAGCTGATTCATTACCTTTACTGTAAAATGTATATATTTCAGTGTTAATGCTGGAGACACTAATTAACATTCAAACGGAAAGCCTAATTCCAATTTCTTCTGACTACTGCTTCTAAGTCATCTGACAACTTACAAACATTTACAACGCTCGTTAGCAGAATAAATGTTATTTTTAGTTGCCTGTACGAAGTAAAAGTAGTATAGTAATCGCGAAATCGGAGAGTTCAGTTTTTAATATTCGTATGTGTTAGTATATTGTGAATTTTTAGCTTTAAAATGATTGAATTGTATGGTTCTTATCTTCCGGTTAAAGCTTTTGTGCCTTTAGTTAATCTGCATGCAATAGTTGTAGAATTATCAACAAAAGTTGTTTAAGTGCGACTAAGCCTAATCTTTTTACCCTAGCAACCATATTTGTTGCATTTGAAACTTAGCTAAACAGTGAATTAAATCAGTTTCTGCATCTTCAGTGTCCTTTTGCCGACTGAGACCACAAGTAAACTTTCAGTTTGTGTATCGAAAAATTTGCCTTCTTGCCCGCTCGCCGTATTGGTTGTTTTTGAGCAGAAACTCTAAATTTTAATTGTTAAAATTGCTTTTTTAATTGTTTTAACTGTATTTGGTGGTTTACATTTTTCAATTTTTAGTAAAGATATTTTGAGGTTTTATGTAATTTTGCGTTGTTGCGAAATGAGAACTGAATTAATTGAATAAGAAATATACTTCTAATGAAATTCGAGGAAATAAGTTTAAATGAAATGCAGGAAAAATTGCGTATAATTTAATATTCCGTACAAGGTAACCATGTAGTGTACACATCAGATTTTTTTTTAATCGTATGCCTGCTGGCAACCAACCAAGAAAGGCGTCTAAAACCTTTCGGACTATTGTGAAACATCACACAAAAGTCAGTGTTGTTTTTAATTTTTCTATTGCGACCTGAACTCTTACAACCTCTTCCCTGCGCTTCTCGTATCAGTTCCTCCTTGACGGTAATCCTCACTTAAGCAGACGAGTATTTCTTGTTTTGCATGCAACTTTAATTAATTAATTAATTAAATTTAATTTCGATCATGATAAAATGGATTTCTTGTTACTGAGTATATATTGGCTGTCTAATGTTTCAGCCCAGCATTATCATGAACACAAGAAATAATAGTAACCTTCTCAAACCCCCATGATACTGACAGGAACGAGTTGACGTATTTATTTAATTGCAGTTTCAAAATTTAAAGAAAAAAAAAAAAAAAAAGAAGAAGAGAAAAGAAGAAAAGGGAGGATAGCTTGATAGTTAAATGAGATAGCGTGAAAACTAAGAATTGTGCTTTCGATCTTTTTAATGTTTAGACAAGGAAGCTAAAATATCAATTTAAAGTAGAGTTACGTTTAAGATGACTACGTACAGATTCAGACAATGCTGATCCTCTTTAGAAATTCATCTTACAAAGGTAACGTTTAATACTAATATGTATTTATAAGGGGTGTTCAAATGAAAAGGTACGAAACGTCGTTACAACCAAACCGGTTGAAATTTGATTACGCCGCTTTGGCATAATGCAGTGAGACATCTAAGGACGCGAATGCAATATCCGACATGGCTGTGCGCAAGCGTAAGCACCCGCACATGACGCTTAGTGAAGCAGGCAGTTGTGTATTTCGTCCAATTGGCGCCAGTGCGTGTGATGACATCTTGGAGTTCACATTGCAGAATTCGACGATTGAGGAGCAGCTAGATGTTACCAGATATCTGATTGTGAAAGGGGTTAAACCGGCCGATATCCATCGCCGGATGGTAGCCGTATACGGAGCTGACTGTGTGTCCAATAAGTGGAGTGCCAGTTCTGCTCAGTATACGGCCACCATCCGACAATGAATATCAGCCCTTCCACAGTCAGATATCTGGTAACATCTATCTGCTCTTCAATTGTCGAAATTTTGCATTGTGAACGCACTGCCGCATCATTTGGACGCAACAAACAAGTGCTTGCTTCACTCCGGCGTCATGTGATGGCTCTTGCGCATGCGCACTACCATGTCTGATACTGCATTCGCGTCCTTAGATGTCTCACTGCCTTATGGTATAGCGGCATATTCAAATTTCAACCGGTTTGGTTGTAACGACGTTTCGTAGCTTTTCATTTGAACATCCCTTATAATATTAATAATATTAGACAAGTCTTAGTCGAGAAATGGTCTCCAAAAAAGAGCTGACCGTATTTCTCAATAAGTAACATTTTTATTGAGAAAGTATAATTACTGGGGTAAGTTTTCAGTTTTCTGAAATGATGGTTTTGTTCATTTGAAAAATTTATCTCTAGAGAAGTGAAGATGGGAAACATTCATTCAATTACATAAAATTATTAGATGCTTATAGATATTCATTTTTTTTTTAAATCCCTTGCAGATTCCCAAGCTTTTGGACTATCTGAAGCGAGTTATAAAACTGAGTTGCTGCAATACTGCAGCTTGCATACAAGATGTTATTCCAGGCACTGTGCTATGCCCAAACCTTAACTGTAATGAACGTTTAGAGTTTTCTTGGTGCCGTGGTATTGTTTGTTGTCCTGAGCGGAATCCGAGGAACCATTGCTCGTATTGTGGATTATGCTGCTTCTCCAATGGTCGACATTGTCTGGTAAGATTAGACAATTGTTTCCTACCTCTCTTACAATTAATTCTATTGCAGGTAGTGCCATTATGCAGTAACTGCCAGAGAAAACGCCACACCGAGATGAATCAAACGTAGTGCCATGCAAATTTGCATGGCAGTGCAAGTTATGAAAATAATTGCATTTACCAACCAATCAGACAGCTAGCACTCAAGATACCAGCATAAAAAACAACGCTTGAAGCTATCAATTTTAGCTCCGTTCCACGTTTAATTCGCAAATTTTATTACTGTTTACAAGGAATGAAAAAGACAAGGTAATGCTTTTAAGATAACATCCTATTCAGTATCTACAAACAGAAGAGTTCACGAGGGGCGAAAGGCTAGATTCATGTCAGGCCTTCATACTGCTGGCTGATTCTTTTGCCATATGTAGAGATAAATGCACGTTAATGCTACAATAATTCGCGAAAATGTCAATCTGAAAGGAAATGTTAAGCTTCATACGAGATTCGATGCAAGGAGAAGGACGCCATAGCAAACTAACTGTCGCGTATAACGCCATGTAGTATCTGTCGCACGGTTTAAAACTGGAGACATCTTGCGGAGTGTATATGGAATGCTTCAATATCGACGCAGAGAGTTTTGCGGCACATGGTTAATTTGCCCTGTGTATAAGTGAATTGCGCATGTTTTTCAATGAACACATAAATTTCCAATTCTACACACTGATTTGTATTTCTCAGCGTCACCTTCAGTTATCCGGCAAACTATACATAAGTGACTTGTAAGTAAGTAAATAAGTGAATAACGACAAGCAAATATTACACAGGAACTCTTCAATTATGTGAACAGCACATAGGATGTACATTAATATACCCAGTTGATAATGTTCAGTAGAATGCATCTGAATAACTTCATATATCCAAGTTACCACTGACTACTTTTAAAGTTCTTCTCTGAAAACTCAGAATCACGATGCATAAAACATTGCTAAAGTACTCATCAAGCACAGTAAAAGTCTTGACAGGGTCTCTTTAATAATCACAGGTCACAAATATCCATCTTCCGAAGTAACTTTATGAATTCCGTTGCAAATTTTAATACTCCATACAGGTTTTTGGCTAGGGCTGGCGATAGTAGAATGATCCGCCAACTGAGTACAAAGGCTGGTAGTTATATAACAGGCGGTACAGCAACTCAGCTGGTGGTAAGTAAATGGATAATTTATGTTTGGTATATAGTCGTTCTTTATAAAGGCTTTTATAAGCCATCGTCGTGAACGTTTTCAATGATGCAGCAGAATTACACGGAGTGCAGAATGGGACAGAGAAGTCTTTAGCGACGAATCTGACTTCTGCCTCACAAATGATGATCGGAGTATGACAGCGTGGATGAGACGTGTTGCTATCATTTTCGAGTGACATACGACTTCTCACAGTCGTTCATCTCTACAGCGAATGACGGTCAGATTTAACGGGCGCAAGCTCTGCGAGTGCCTTCTTTTGGGCAGGTCGATTTCTCTATCACTTGACAACTGAGCATTTGTGAGACCTGTTTAAATGCCGGTTACATAGCACCCCTTCTCCAAGAAGCTAAAATTAATTGTGGGTTCACATAATCATCATGTGGTGAAGACATGACTTATCGATTAGGTGCAACGATGTGTTTAAGAATATTTTGTACGATATGGTGTCACAACATCTTATTGATATTCTAAATTTCTTAATATTGGGCATCTTTGGAAAAATTTAATTATTAAAATTTGATTATCTTTCAACGTACATTTAACTGTTTCCAATCATTATTTCATGCTGTGGCATTTCCTCTGTCAGGCAGTATACAAAAATCTATGTGCATTAATCCTGTCTTATTAAAATGTTTTTTGAGAAATTCTAAAAGTGAACCTAGTAATAATGCCACATACTGTGGCCGAAAGTAAAACTCCGATGCCTACTTTTCTGTACATTATGGAATTCTTTATAATCGAAAGGAAAGATATTTAAACAAAATTATAAATTCATTTTTTCTATTTTTTTTAAATACATATAAATTCAAAAAACAGTAACTTGACTTGCTGAAGCAAAAGAATTTTGCTTTAGCAAAAACCAACAATTTCTCGTCAACAACCACCAAACCAAGAATTCGTTGTGAGTCATTCGGGGTCAACCAGTGACAGTGGTGTGGAAAAGTACAGTGAACTTAAAGAGATTTTAAATTTAGTCAAAGAACACTAGTGAAAAGTAAAATAAAATTGAATATTTTAAAATTAAAATTAATTAAGCGAGCATTGGTACCTTTCAAGGATGATGCACAGGTTCATTGCACATTAGTCAATCTATGGCCCCTGTTGTCGAGAACTATAGTAAAAGGAGACAGGTATTAAAATTAAATCGAAGCTCAACATTGCTTGCCAAACCTGTTAGTTACCATATCCCGTCAGTAGTCACTACTATTCAAAGTCACTGCGACCGTCAATTTGATGTTAGGTAGATATTTAAACTAAAATTAAATTGCAGCACATCGGAGCATTTTAAGAGTTTGGCCGCAGTAACTTTCACTTGGAACACACTTAAGATCCAATCATAAATCTCTACTGAAGGGGCAGTGGTTTAAATTTAGATATTTGCTTCAGTACAAAATTAATTCAGAGTACACCGATGGTAGTAAAGCCTGTTCGACTTAAATGCCCATTAAGATCACCGAAGGTCTGTAGATTGAGGATCACTTCACGTCAATCCATAAATCAACGAAATGGCCTATAGGTTCAGTGTAATCCCTGGAAGGCAACGCAATTAATGCACACAAGTATTTAAATCAAATCAAATCAAATCACACCAATGCTCATTAAGATATTTGTTGGCCACTAGTGCCTATCAATGTTCGAAAAGTTCACAAAATGATGTACAGTTTGCAAGTTACTTGGACGCAGCTTTTAGGTCACCGATGGGAGGCCCTGCAGTAAATTTATACAACTCAACTCACCAGGGAGAAGTGGCACCTAGATCCAGCTTAAGTTAGTCATACGCGGTTAATCGTCCCCACTCCTGGGGGCGATCCCACAAAGCATAACACCTCGTGGCAACATTTGTCAAACCAGAGGATGATAAATTTTTGGTATTAATTAGTAAAATAGCGGAACATTTGAATTACTAAACTTGACGAGAATCATCATTGCTTAACTTCGCTAACAGCCTTCTTTGCTCTAATACGTGTTGCATTATTTTTTTTTATCGCGAACTGCGATATCGATTTTTTATCGCGAACTGCGATATCGATTTTTTATCGCGAACTGAAGTGTTATCATTTGCGGGAATGTAATTGCTACATACAGTAGTTTCCAAAACTGAAGTTACAAACATATTACACCACTTACACACTAATATTTAAAAACTGAAATGTCATATGACAAACTATATGTACAGTTTGAGGAAAGTTAAATGTAATGTAAGCATCTGGTGGCTGTTAAAAAGATACGTATTATTAAAAAAAAAAAAAAAAAAAAAAAAAAACCTTAAAGAAAGGCTTTGAAAAACTGTTTTGAAATCTGCGATGTACGTTTGCGAAACTATATTTCTTACAAAAAAAAAATTGCTAAACTGATAGATTTCAATTAAAATAAGTTATTGCAATCATTTAGGTGTTGGTTTGAGATCAAGAACCAAAGGTTACGAATGTCTTGAAATTTGCATTCAGGTTATGACATTATCTTCATACTACAAGTAGTATCGCCAGAAAGCCCAGCTAAGGCCATCCAAGAGCCATAAAACCAGCTGAAGATTGATACATGGCATTAAATGCTTGACTGGATAGAGAGGCGCTGGCTAGAAAGCTCCCCGGAACTTTGTTGCTGCTTCTAGAACAACATTATCCAAGCAAACTGTATACAGACACTTACTAGAGAAGGCCCTTTTCGCCTTAGCATTATCTATTTTTTTCAACAGATCGCAGAAGAGAACGCTTATAATGTCGCGTTATCAATTCCGACTTTTCTAAGTTGTCAGCATAATAAAATTCTTCCGAAATTCCCTGAATGAAATTATGAGAAATGTTTGTTTTGGGGGGATAAATAATTGAATAACATGTTAAATATCTCGGGAGCAGTATTTTAGTTTTAATTTCAGAGAGTCTCTGCAGAAGCAGTCCGAGTCTGTTCATTACCATATCTAAAATAGTTCTCCCTTCGGTGTTTCCTATTCTTCACTTCTAAAAGTCCCTCGAAGTCTCACGATTGGAAATTCCCTTTCCAACGATTATTCGACTGCCCGAAAGGGCTGAAGCCCGGACTGCCCCAGAAGTTTGCTGAAGTGCTTAGTTCCCTTCTCATGGGAAAACAAATCAGTTAATTATGAATACGATGCTGTAATATTACCCTGTCTTATGTGGAGATAAGTAAACCATTCTTGGACACAACAATCTTAGGATATTATCATATTCATTGATGAGCCAGGATTTAGCACAAAAAAGGACTTTGGATGAATCTTGTAACTGAAGACAGTTTGGGCTCGCTACCATTTCTTCAGCGTAAGAGAAGACAATCAATTTGGTGGGAATCGTATCCTTGCACGAGAAGGCATCATGTTATACGGCTGCATACCCCCACATGTCTTTGATGCACTGTGATTTTACAGCTTTATAGGGATAAAGTTCGTTGATCTTATGTTGAGACATTTCTGAAAAGCTGTTGAAATGAAATTATGCGTAATAACGGGAGGTCACGTGGATTTCAAGTGGACATCAATCCTGTAAAGCTTGTCTGAAAATTTCTCAGAAGAGCCATCTTACTAAGCCAGCACCATATCAGAACCTTTCAGACGTTAAAGTTACATGTTTAGAGTTTGTAATCTTCATTTTGGACACCAGTTTATTTACAGACACATTTTTGTGGCTGAAGATTAAAAGATAACTGAGTGAATAACTCGATTTATGTTTCATACTCTTTTTATTATAAATTTAATGTGCATAACTGCAAACTTTGTGGATGCTTTTAAGGTGGCTCATACACCTTAAACCCCTTATGATCTTCGAATGATGTGACTGTTGCAAGAATTGGGCTATTTTATTTATTTTAAAAGCAATTACTTCCAACTTTTTACAGCTGACTACATAATATAGCTGCTTTCGAAACTAGTAGCCAGAAAGTTTGTGTTGCCACAAATAGTTTTGTAATTTATCCGATTTGTGACAAAATGTTTCGTCACGTTTCCACCTTGTGCCCATGATATTTTAAAAATGGCTAAAGGTACAAACTTGAAATTAGATGGAATTATTTATATGGGCACTATTTTCTAACTGAACCAAAAATCTGATGAATATTTTAATATTAAAAAATTTTATGAACGAAAACATTCCAGGTTTTTTTAATAATGTACATTTTATAAACTCAACTCCAAATAAAATAAAAATTTAACATGAAATTTTTAGAATTTTAGGTTCACAGTAGTTTCTAAATGTTATAAAAGCTATATATTAAATATCGAATTAAATTATGCAACAGAATGTTTGAAACTGTGCGCGCAAGTTGGAAAAATGACGAATAATTTTGTCACAAAGCGGATTAAGTTATAAAAATATTTGTGGCAACACAAACTTTCTGATTACGATTTCAGAAAGCAGCTATATTATGTAGTCAGCTGTAAAACGTTGGAAGTAATTGTTTTTAAAATAAATAAGTTATCCCAATTCTTGCAACAGTCACATATTCGAAGATCTTATGGGTTTTAAGGTGTACGAGTCCCCTTAAAGAAATTCCGCTCCCCCTCAAAAAATTAATTTTCGAGAAATATCTCTGCACATAATCTTATTGATTGCCTTCGTAAGTGAGAAAATAATCAGATAAATAACTATTAAAAATCTTCGAGATTTCCCCAGTTTCACCAGTACGTATATATTTTTCCTTAAGATTATACACATATATTACGTTATATATTTTTCCTGAGATTACTGTCATAGCTTTGCTGGAGAAAAGAATTCGAACATATTTTCTTTGAAAGTACTGACTATTAAAATTAAAATGTTTTATGAATATATCTCCCATGTAAATAGATGCTTTTGATATTTTTTTCAGACTTGTAACAGATGTTATACTGTGACACCAAAATGTTCCAAATGTCCAATATGCCGTGACAAAGTACTTCCAGATAAGTCATCAAAGAATAACGATTCTACTCAGAGAGCTGTGGGCACCAGCACTCAGTTTTCAAAGCGTAGCTCGAAACCAGAAATTATACTTTTAGATACGTCTTTAAGTTCGAAATCTAATGTTCCATCCAAAGAGCTTGTAGAATCTGATCGCTTTCCACTTGCATCTTTCGAGAAGAAAAACGAGAAAACGACTAAAATTAATAGTAATCATGAAACTAATCCAAATGATGAACGTCCTGTAGAAATCAAAATAACAGGAGAAGGGTTATTTATGATGGCAGGCACAGAAAAATGTGAAGGTCAGAATAGTGAGGAATGTGTCCCAGCAACAACAGAAACTGGTGAGCTGATAGCCAAGAACGCATTTAAAAAATTCTCCAATGGTAATGGAATTGATAAGAGCTATGAAGCACATACTTGTACAACTTATTCAAGTGTGGAGCTTTCACCAGAGATTGAGATAATAAACGAAGTGCCATTTATAAAGATAGAGGACTGCGAAGGTAAGAATTTTACGGAATATTTTTCGTCTGTAATGGACGTTAATATAATGGTAGGAAAACCCGAAAAAACATTTGAATTACTTCAAGAAGTATCCAGCAGAAACGAAATCGCTCCGGAACAGGAAGAGAATGTTAATACTGATGACGAACTTTCAAGCCTAGCATCTTTAATTACTGCCAATATAGAAAAGTACGAAGATCAGAGTTGTAAGGATTATTTTTCAGTTGCCGAAGAAATTGATAATGTGATGGGTAACAACGAAAGAACGTTACAGACATCAAACAACAATGGCATTAACATTGACGGTAAAGAGATTGTTAAAATTTGCAGCACCGCTGAGAGTGAGATACCTAGCAAAGTGCCATTATCAATGGCAGATAAAGAAAAATACGAAGATCGCAAATGTACGGAATATCCTTTAATTACTACAGAAACTGACAGTGTGATAGCTGAAAGCGAAAGAACATTTCAGTCATTGCAAGAATCACTGTACAAGAATGAAATAATTGAAAATTACGAATCCCGTGTTAAATCCGATTCAGATGAACTGCGTTCTATGAAAAATAACACATCATGCAAAGTGCAATTACAGGCAGACACAGAGAAGTGCGAAAATCATAGCTTGATGGAATATCCTGTAACTGTAGCGGAAGATGATAGGGTAACAACGAAAAGTGAAAGAACATTTCAGTCATTGCAGGAATCACTCTGCAAGACTGAAATTAGTAAAAGTCATGAAGCAAGTGTTAAACTAAATGCAAATGATGAGTCTTCCATGGGGAGTGAGATGTCGAGCAAAGTGCCATTTAAGGCAGATGCAGAAAAGTGCGAAAATAGTTCGAATTATACACAGTATTTTTCAACTCTAATAGAAGTCAATGGTGTGATAGTTAAAAATGAAAGAACATTTAAGACCTTTCCACAAACATCCAAAATTAACTAATAACAAAATATTCCTCCAGAGAGTTTGCGAATTATGATGCATTTAAATTAATCATGTCACTAATTTAACAGTTAAAATACCCAATAGCAGTTTAAGCTTTTTTTTATAAATTTACAATCAAAGATCAATTAGTTTACAAGTTTTGCGATAATTTATTTGTAACTTAAAATTAATCATTTAAAGTATATGACATTAAGTAAAAATTGTTGCTCAGTCAATCAAGGATAATATTCTTATCTCAAAGTGTGGTTTTTGGACATATAGAGTAATGGAATGTAGTTAAGATAGTTAAAAATTATTTTAGTTTCAGCTTTAAATGGAATTTTAAAATGCCATTCATGTTGCAATTTTCATAGTTTATCATCTGTTAATTAATTTGAAAAGTTTATTTGAACTTAATATTACTTTTTTAAAAGCATTATTTTGTATATATTTAAAACAACTATTGTATATTTTTTGTATTCTGTTCAGACATTATACTTTTGAATACATTCCCAGACACACATTATACATCTCTACTTTATATATTTTTATAAATTTGAAAATTAGTAGTATTATGTATTATTAGCAGTATTATATATAAGTAGTATTTTTGATCAAGCTGTTTTGATTAGTAGTAGAGTTGAGTTTTGAGGAATTAATTTAGAATATATTAAGTAGATTAAAAAAAAAGAACTGGAATTTTTTTAAAATGGGTAATTTTCTTGTAAATGTGAAATATTGCATAAATTGTTGTTTAATTTTGAATAAAAATATTTGTTATGATTTCACAATTTCATTCATCCAAGAAAAAGCTTTTTTTATTAATTTACAATCATAGGCCATCTTAAAATTAATCATTTAAAGTGTATGACATTAAGTAAAAATTATTACTATGCTACAAATTATTACAGTCAAGGATAACATTTTTATCTCAAAAGTGTGGTTATTGGACTTAAGTAATCGAATATAGTTAAGAAAGTTATTTAAGTTTCAGCTTTAAAAAAAATTTAAAATGCCATTCATGTTGCAATTTTCATAGTTTATCATATGTTAATTAATTTGAAAAATTTTTTTGTACTTAATATTACTGTTTTAAAAGTATTGTTTTGTATATATTTTAAATAACTATTGTATATCTAATGAATTCTGTACAGCTATTATACTTTTGAAGACATTTCCAGGCACACATTATATATTGCTATTTATATAGTTTTATAAATTTGAAAATTGTAGTATTTTTGATGAAGATGTTTTGATTAGTAGAAGTCTAGGTTTTGAGGAATTAGTTTAGAATACATTAAATAGATTTTAAAAAAGAACAAGTTGTTCTGAAATTGAATTCTTAAAAATGGGTAATATTCTTGTAAAATGATGTCATAAATTGTGATTTAAGTTTGAATAAAAAGATTTTTATGATTTCATGAGTTCATTCCTCCAGGTAAAATCTTTTTTATGAATTTGCAATCAAAAGCCAATTAGCTCACAAGTTAAAGTTAAGTGATAATTTATTTGTAACTTAAAATTAATCATTTAAAGTAGATGACATTATGTAAAAATTATTATTCCACTCAAATCAAGGATAATATTTTTATCCCAAAAGAGTGGTTATTGGGCTTACAGTAATCGAATATAGTTAAGAAAGTTATTTAAGTTTCAGCTTTAACAAAAGTTTTAAAATACTGTTCATGTTGCAATTTTCATAGTTTATCATATGTTAATTAATTTGAAAAGTTTATTTGAACTTAATATTACTGTTTTAAAAGCATTATTTTGTATAAATTTTATATAACTATTGTATAGTTAATGAATTATGTACAGATATTATACTTTTGAATACATTTCGAGACACACATTATGTATTGCTAATTTATATATTTTTGTAAATTTGAAAATTGTAGTATTTTTGATGAAGCTGTTTTGATTAGTAGCAATCTAGAGTTTTGATGAATTAGTTTAGAATATATTAAGCAGATTTTAAAAAAAAAGAACAAGTTGTTCTGAAGTTGAATTTTTAAAAATGGAAAATATTCTTGTAAATGTAAAATGATGCATAAATTGTGATTTAATTTTGAATAAAAAGATTTATGATTTCATGACTTCATTCATACAAGAAAAAATTTTCTCCATGATTTTCATAAGGCATTTTTTAATTCGAATCATAAAAAAACGAAATGTTTTACATTGGTTAATTTTCTCGAGTCCTTCGAACATTAGTCAGCAATTTACTTTAATTTCATAAATAATGTAAAAAAAACAAAACAAAACTATGTTGTTACAAAAATAATGAATTCTTTAAATTTGGTTTTCAGGTATCTTATAAACTATCTTAATTTCAAGCATAACAGCCAAATTTCAAGTGAGTATCATTGATATATACATTCTGTATTGTTACCGTATTTGCTTAAATGTAAGACCTTCCTTCTTGTTATACTTTTGTTTCTAAAATTTCATAGGGTTCAATTAGTTCAATATTTCGATAAACAAAATTGCAGAATCAAATGAAGTTTAACTATCACACTACACAGTATAAGTATAATACTATACTTATACTGTGTATCTATAATAGTAGAAGGTAAACCACACAAGTGATTATCGTATACACTCTTTTGCAAAAAAAATCGAAGCACCGAGAAGGACTTTTGCGATCGTGACGAAATTTGGTATGCAAAAACATCTTGATCGAACATGCAAATGATCAAAGTTTGAAGGCAAATAAACAGGAGTTGCGATCATAGCGCGCATTTCTAGTGCGTAATTCCCAAAGTATAAAATCAGTAACAGAGGCGGAAAATTTATCTTTTTTTTTTTTTTTTTTTTTTTTTCGCGGCCATTGTAATTCCGTACAGAAGCAGGTAAAGATGCCATTACGATGATATCGAAGACCTTACAGACAACTAAACTACTTCCAACGTGGTCCCATTATAGGGTTGCGTGAAGCTGGGTGGTCATACCGAGCAATTGGCCACCACCTGCAGCGCACAGACACTGCTGTGAAAAACTTTTGGCAGCAATAGTTGCTACAAGGAAATTGCTGATGAAATGAAGGCTGTGGAAGGTCCAAGGAGCACAAATGCGAGGCAAGATAGGATGATTGTTCGACAGGCCAGAACCGCTCAAACGGTATCATTGTCTACTATGATACGGTATCATTGCCACGTCTGTACCTCCCGTGGTAGTACAGATGACAGCAGGGCCGGACACCCGGACGGCTTTCAAAGACTAATCGGGTATAGTCCGGGACCCACTCCATCTAGAGCATAACATGTTTACAACATAAAGTACCTAGAGTTGCATTACCTACACGACAGGAGAGCATTGCATGGCGACATAACATAGCTCAGCACAGACATAACATGGCATAGCATTCGACGGGACATAGTATAGAATGCAGTCATTGCATAGTGACATAACATATTTACAACATTAAATACACAGCGTAATGTAACTTACATGACAGGTGGATATAGTATAGCAACATAACATAGTTAAGCATAGATAAGACATAGCGACATAACATATTGTGGTTACATATTTACAACATACAATTCGCAGTGTGGCATGACCTATGCGACAGGTGGACATTGCATGATGACAGGTGACAGCAGTAGTAGCTTAGCGTAGAATAACATGACACAGCATTAACATTGCACCATCATGTGACATAGCATAAAATAAGGATTACATATTTACAGCATTAAATGCACAACGTAACTTAACTACATGAAAGATGTGTATAGCGTAGCGACATACCATAGCATCTCATAGACATAATATACATAGTAATGCGACATAACATATTGACATCACAGATTTACGACATAAAATGCACAGCGTCGTATAGCCAGCACAGCATACAGAATATAGCCTTTCATATGAACATAGCTTAGAGGCATATATATTGACAATACATTTTTATAATAAACAAAAGAAATATATATATATATATAAACAGCATAACATGACTTGTACAGCAGGTGGCATAGCATAGCATAGACAAATGTGATTGAACATAGCATAGCATATTGTCATAGCATACATGGACTACACAACATTTCATACAGAAACATGACTTTTTGTGAATTAGTACAAAAAGACAAAAACAGGACGTCAAGCAGTACATATGTAGTGGTACCTAAATATAGACTTACTAAGCGAATATTTTGCTGCACATAACTTAGCTCACTACTTGGAGTTTCTTAGACATCATTCTGCTTGATACAGCTCTTGTCCAAGCGCTTCGAGCTTATCCATTATACATTTAATTTTATTTGTAAGTGCCGGTTGTTTTATTAGAAAGCGCTTGAACGGGACCTCAGATCCACCGAAGCTAATGTGCCATTTCTGTGTTAAAGGGCATTTCACAAGATAATGATCGGGCGACCCTTCATTGCCGCAGACACAGATTTTGGTGGTAGATATGCCTCTGTCTTTGAAATAAGACGGGAAAGGTCCATGACCCGTTATGAAGCGCGTGAGGTAGGGTGCGAAGATTACCCGATCTGTCGTCTTTTTATGTATAAAGTCATGAGTTCTCCGGCCTTGTTGGATTGTATCCCATTCCTCCCACCACAGGCTTAGGGCCGTTTCCCGCGCTTTGCCTTTTAGGTGCGATTTCGGCAGCAAAATCGAAACTTCTTCTGCGTCCTGATTTTGGGCTGCCTCCTTCGCCAATTCGTCAGTTTTCTCATTAGCCCGTGGTAGCACAGTCCACCATCTCACGATGCTTGTCTGAGGCGGGGTTACTCTCACAGAGGCCTTTAAGACGTTTGCCTTTGACTCCGCAACATCAGCGGTGTCGTCTGGAGTAGAACAGCTCAACAATATGTTAATACCCTCCTGCGACCGGTTGCATTACCCTTCATGGCACGTCATCATGGGGCCATTTTCCAACAAGATTTCGAAGCGGTATGTGCCAGGCCACATACCGCTCGCATATCTCTGGACTGTCTCCGTGCGGTTGATATTCTTCCTTAACCAGCAAGGTCACCAGACCTTTCAACAATCGAGCATGTTTTGGACATGATAGGCCGCCAGATTCGGGTACCACAAAATACCGCAGACCTGGAGCGACAACTGACGAATGCCTGGCAGAATGTGTCGCAGGATGACATTAGGAACCTCTACCACTACTTGCCTCGACGAATTCAAGCATGCATTGCCGCCAGGGGCGGTTCGACCAACTATTAATTTGAACACTCAATGGGTGATTGTAAGCCGTGAATAGGTACTATAACCTTGATTTTTTAATCATTTTATTATCTGTGTATGAGCTATGCACATATTCAATTTCATCAAAAACAACGACTTCCTTCATAGGGCTTCGATTTTTTTGTAAAAGAGTGTATATAAACTGCATATCTACAAATAATTATACTTTGCACGTCTAGCTCAGGGATGTGAACTTAGACATTCGTCCTCTGTAGTGATCACTAGTATGCCTGAAATAGTAGTATGCCTGAAATCACTAGTATGCCTAGTGATAATGTGAA